TTTTAGACAAAAACGGCTGTATACATCTCAATATCTGCAACTCCAAATAGTGAGTGTACACAGGCAATTGAAGTAATCAGACAGGTAACAACATAGACTACTCACAGCCAGAACAAATAGGTCTGATTTAAAGTCAGATATAGACCTACTTCCCACACTAAGAAGTGACGTCTCTTAGTCCAGTGTTTTACAAGCACAAGCTCACTCGATACTTCTCCCCGTGTACGTTCCAGCAGGACATGATGTATGGCATTTATGTCATCTCTCAGCACACACTCTAACCAAAAATAAAATAAGTATCTTAAAAATGTCTAACTTTCTTTTATCAGAGTGAAGACTTGAATAAGTTGTAATTTGAGTACAGGAACAGTTTGGATAAGCTCCAAGAGAAGTTTTTCTGATGGCAAGACTATGAACAACAGTTCCCAATTCCCTTGTTAAAAATTGGTTGCTGAGCAGGTGTTCAGAAAAGAATGTTAAAGGAGTGGAAAACCTTCTCAACTCAAATAAAACCCCAACACAACATTTTGGTAAAGGGTCACCGCCAGCTCCTTCCTTTGTTCCAGAAGGTCAACGTTAAAATAAAACCAAAACAACACACCAAGTACCAGTCTGCCCAAATTCCACGTCATTGTAAGCCAGTCGGAGCACAACCCATTAGCTGCTCAAGGCATACAGTAATCTCTGCTTTGCTCCCCAGCTTTTTACTGTCACTGCCAAGTTTAACATGCTTTCAGACAGAGTGAGCTATTATATTAAACTTTAGGCATATAAACTCTATCCCTAGCACACCAGATGTCTGAAGGATATAGCTACGCATTCAATATGCCGCTTTGGAAAAAAAAAGTTAAATTTTGTTCTTTCTAGTCACTAGAAAGACTGAGGAAGGCAAAGCATATGTTAAATGCATTCCATAGCCAACACTGACAGTAAAAGCTGAACTACAAAATTCAGAATCAATTACAACTCTTCAAATGGATGGCGTAGCCCAGCATCAAGCTTGACATGTCACAGCCTGCACATGCCTGTCAACACCCATCTATGACTACGAAGACTGAGTGGATAATCACTATTAACAGTGCCTGGGGTCACACAAAAGGCTATTCACACTAATACCTATGTGGTTATAGGTTTAGATTAAGTGTCCAAACGCAGACCCTCTGGATCATACTAGTAATATCAAATTCTTGGACCAAACGGCTGAAATTCTTTCCTATGTTACAAACTGTTCAGCTTTCTTGTAGTGATATTAAGCAAGGCAGTGTCATGTTGAAGAGGGCATAATCAAACCACTTAAGATTAGCTGGATTTGTGATTTCAAGTGAGGTCTTCAACTGGAACATGCCATTTATCAGGAGACTAATTTTTTTCAGTAAAATCTAATGCTTTTTTAGAGAAAAGTAAACAAAACACAACTTGAAGGCACCTTAAATAAATATTCCTCTTTTTAGAAGAGAAATACTCTCCTTTTTAGGAAAGAAAAAAAAACACACAAACCCCAACTTTCTGACCAAGTTTTCCATCCATAAAAGATGCAAATACCAGAGTTCCCTCCGTTAGCCTTTCTTACCAGACTGACCTATTTCAACTGTATTCCTGGCAAGTAGTACTCTTCATTTACAGGTTAGTTGCTAGGTAAAAGGACGGATGTCTTCCCAGACTTTTAAAAAAGCCCTCTGCCAGCAGAAACCAGTCTAAGTTAGCTGTTCCTGAAAACAACACATACTTTTTCCTCCTGAGTAAGTTGTCTGCAAATTGACTGCAAAAACTGAGAGCGCTGTTGTGCTTAGCTCAGACAGAACAATAGCTTTATTCTGAAAACTTTTTTCCCAAACAGAAAAACAAATACAGGAAAAAAAGAGCAATTTGTTTGAACCAAGGAACTGTCCCTTCTCCCAAGCAAATATTCTTGCAGCTCTGTCTCTGGTCCACTGCACCTCAGACTTGCCTCTTCACAGCTGCACAACTGCAATCAGAACAGAACATCTGTAAAACTATCTATACAACAGACAGGGAGACACAAACAGATGGACACAAACACACACACTGTTCACAGTCTTCTAGATGATTGTGCTGGTTATTCATCTGGAGATGATCTGGAGCATACCTGCTTGAGTGCAGACTTCAAACTAGACACTCTAGAGAGTGCCAGTTACAAGGCACACTTGTGCTCAGAATACAAATGTCCTGATGTCATGAGGCACTCACCTTATTGTGGTTTTACTCCTGCAGTTTATTCGTACTGGTTGATATGGTGTCCTCCACCCCCTCCCAAGCTAGATGCACAGCGTAGAGTTCATCAAATTACTATTCTCAACATGCATACGTACTAAATGTACTGCTACAGAAGAAAAATACCTTTCAATCACTTCATCTTCAGTTAAGAACAATGCAAGACTGTTTTCCCCAATAAGAATTTCTAATCCTCCCTGTGTCCTTCTACAAATCCTGTAGTTGTTTTCCCCACAATCAGAAACTAAACCCAGATCCTTTTCATCTTTCATGTAAGCAGTACTATTGAGAATGAGATTGGTACTTGAAGTGTAGAAAAATAGAACTAGCCATGGGAAATGCAGCAATGACATTTATTGGAATTTCTCCAGGCATTACATGAAAAATTTTATAAGTGAAATAGAGGATAAAGCACATTCAGTGCATCTTAAAAAAAAAAAAAAAAAGTAGTATCTGAATAACCTTGATTCTTTGTAATACACACTACTGCAGTTCCTGGGATTGGTTTTCTATGTACACATCAGCTAAAATTTACTCTGAACAAAACTGCAAAGAACTGCCTTTTCACTTGGCATTTTCCCACCTAGTACAATACAATATTCTTGAAATATCTAGACAGATTCCACATAATTTTTACACACAGTGTTAAGACCTTTCACTCCAACTGTAAAAAGAGAGACTGAAGTAAATCAGTATCTTTAATCAAATAAAACACCATGGAAGTAAAAAATAACAACAAAAATAAAACCCAGGAGACCCCAAACCCCCAAGTTCCACAGCAGCGTGCAGCAAATCAGCATTGTTGTTCCTTACTTTTCTATCAACATAAAGCGTAATACTTAGAAAGCAGTGATATTCAGTCGTTGCCTTCTAAATTGCACAATCTTATGCATAAAGACACTGCTGGATTTGGCACTTTGCTTAATTGTTTTTCTTACTAAAAAGAACTGTTTCCTGAAATACAGCATAAATGGTAAGAGATAACATGAGCCACTGTAACACTCAATTAACGGTTCAGACATGCACTCCAAAATACGTGTCTATTACACATTTGTCTAAGCCATCTCAAAAATTCCACTCAAAAACATTTTCAAATCTATATGCATCTTTTCATACCTTTATAAACATATATTCTCCCTTGAAATGATCAGAGCTTACCTCACCTTCTTCCCAGAACACACAAATTCATGACTTTTGTTTTAAAAAGAAGACCACAAAGCAGTATTAAAACAGGAATAACCTGAAAGCATTATTAAAACTGCACCTGTACTTCAGAATCCCCTTCGAAATGTATATCCACTGTGTATGTGAAAACTGAAAGGTATGTAATATTTGAAACTTGCTTGGTCCTCTATCGTGCTTATGCTCAACTTCCTGCAACCTGCCTCAATTTTCACTTCAAATAAAATTTTAGAACAGCTTTCTGGTTCCCACTACGGTAAGACAAGGCTTCTTGCAGTATATCTTTGGTTAAATGAGAACCCCTTACACACCTAACTCTTAGGACAGCAAGTCCCCTGCAGAAAACTAACATTACAATAAATACCATCCCACAGCCTTGCTTCCTTCCTCCTGTCATCATGACCAACCCCAGGACAGGTGGAAGCAAACAGGCTGTGAAGGAGGTAGCAGTCACTGTTAGCTCTTGCTTTTACAAGTCCCGCAAGTGTGTATAGATAGAGATTTCTTAGCTCTGAGTTATGGAGGCGGAGCCATGACATGATGCTCTTTGTTTCCAGTTCCAACATGCATGTGGAATTACACTGCTGACCAGTACAGCCCAGGCAGCGGGTGGCACTAGAGCTCTTTCTGTATGAACCAAGTCATGATACTTATTCTGCTTATTGGTCTGTGCGCACAATGTCAGTAGAATTAAAAGAGAGGCACGCATGAGTTCACAAAGATTTTCCACAGAACATGTGAAACATGCTGCTCTTTGGAGGGAAGATTACATTCTTCTTTTTTTTTTTTTCTTCAAGTATTATTCAACATACATATATATAAAGACACATTATCCTCATTTCACTAGAAGACAAGCACATCCAGAGTGAATTTGTAGATCACCATTATTTTGGTGTTGACTACTGAAATGTCTCCTTTCCTTTAGGTCAACTCTAAATATACATCTACTTATCATAATTACATGAGAATCTTTTATTTCCCCCTTGTGATTTATTTACATAATCATAAAAAAATTAATAGCCTGAATTTGCATACTGACATTTGAAAGCCCATCTGTAGCTATGAGTGTCCCAGCACTAGTTTTGGATAATACCGTTGCCTATTGCTAAGTCTTTTGAAAGCAGCATAATCATCTTTTCTTTCCCTTTTTTTTTTTTTTTTGAAGAAACGCTGCCTAGAAAACCCTGGTTTATGGCTTACTCCTTATTTAACTTTATTATTTGGATTGTAGTTTACTTCCTTCAGGAGCAGTTCACAGTCAGACAATGCTTCTGCTGGCAAATACTTCATTATCTGCTCAAGAGTCTTTTGATATGTTATCTTCTCCTGTTCCAGGGACTGAATTACAGTCTTCATTTTGTTCTCTCGAGTCAAAATAGTCTCCATGCTGGATTCCAGACTCTGAATTTTAGCATGAGCAACCTGTAAACAATAACAGTATAATAAATTGCGACATCCTGAATAACTTTTTTTTTTTTTTACATTATGACATCCTATATGTTAAGAAAAGAACTTAATTACATAGATGATTCTAAAAGACATCTGTGTAGGTAGATGACACCAGAAATGCCTACTCTGTATCATAAACAGAATCTCCTTATAGTGGCCAAATCAATCTGAAGGACTTCTGAAAGCTTTACAGAGGGAAGGAGACATGCAAGTTGCAGCGAGCCAGGGACAGTTGAGAATAACAAGGAACTGGAGCTGCAGGGAGAAAAAGAAAAACAGCAGCTGGAGTAGCACTGGAAGACATGACTCGCGTGACAGTGATGGAGCAATGGGAACCCTATGTAACAATGTAAATTAGCAGGATGGAGAGGTTAGAGGGAAAAAGAACCTCAGCGTTAAGTCTAGAAGCAGACAGCATTCCCTATTCTCCAATAAAAGACCTACAGCTTCCTCTGCGAAAAAAGCCACTGAGTAGTACTCAGAAACCCTGGGACCTCAGCAGTAGCAAATGTTTCACTGTGGGAAGTGGGGGAATTCTGACTGTTCCTAGGAAAGGGCCCAAGCAGCGGAATGAAGAAACTATACGAACAAAAAGATGAAGAGGTTAAGGAGCTGAGGAAGACGCATTACAGTATGACACTCTGGAAGAACAGAAGAGCTTCAACAGAGCCTTTCAAATCAGTCACTCATAATTTTTCTATGCCCTTAGTGCATTTTCAGAACAGACGTAAAAGCCCAGGTAGCAGTAAATAAATAAATAAATAAATAAAAAAGCAAAAATAGTAATAGTGAAAAAGCAAGTCATCCCTGTTTTCAGTATCAAAAGAGCACAGCACAGCACCCTTAGCCCATAAACACAAAAATAATGAGGACTTTATTCTTCTTTTTTTACCCTGCTTCTATTTTCAGGGATCAGAAGCTGAAGATGTTCTCTTAGCTCTTCCCAACGTTTGTTCAAATTAACAAATATAAGAAGAAATGGCCTGGCAATGCAAAAAGAAGAGCTTGTCTTTCAAGAAGAGGCAAGACAATACATATTGAAACCCAAAACAAGTCTTGGCCAGGCTATGGGAGAAAGGGCTAATCGTGAAGGAGGAAGAGAGGATTTTTTTTAAAGCATGATTTTATATGGGAAAAGTCTGGCGGGCACTCAGCTGTATTCAAGTCTGTCAGGACAAACCACCTTTCAAAAGTAGGACTATGAGCTTCAGCAGAAGGAAACAGAACAATACTGCCTACAAAGGTCTGGAGAAAGCAAGTGTACTGCAGTATGGATTATTTCTTAAAACTTTCCAATAGTGAAGCAAAAAGATAAAGGGACAGAGACCTTATTTTTCAGCAAGATACATCAATTTTGCCAACAGATTTTATGGGAGATAAGGGTAGAGGTAATGTGAGAAAGAGAAATCTAAATGAAGAAGGAAATATCCAAGGAATGACAAAGGAGTTAAAAATAAGTCTAACAGAAGTAAATCACTGAAATTGAGAGAACCGCTCAACTGCATAAGGTCTCGCAGTTAGGAGACTTCTCATGTACACTTAAGAAAAGACACTCCTCTGTTGGCTAAATCATAGAATGGTTTAGGTGGGAAGGAAGCTTGAAGATCATCTAGTTCCAACCCCCCTGCCATGGGTAGGGACACCTCCCACTAGACCAGGTTGCTCAAAGTCCCATCCAACCTGGCCTTGAACACTTCCAGGGATAGGGCATCCACAACTTCTCTGGGCAACTTGTTCCAGTGCCCCACCACCCTCAGAGTGAAAAATTTCTTCTTAACATCTGATCTAAATCTACTGTTTTCCAGTTTGAACCTATTGCCCCTTGTCCTATCACTACAAGCCCTTGTAAAAACTCCCTCTCCAGCTCTCTTGTAGGCGCCCTTCAGATACTGGAAGGCCACTATAAGGTCACCCCAGAGCCTTCTCTTCTCCAGACTGAACAACCCCAACTCTCTCAGCCTGTCTTCATAAGAGAGGTGCTCCAGCCCTCTGATCATCTTTGTGGCCCTCCCCTGGACCCGCTCCAACAGGTCCACGTCCTTCTCGTGCTGAGGACTCCAAAGCTGGATGCAGTACTCCAGGTTATAGAAAGGACTCCTCCACGCATTTGTAGTCTTAAGTAATTTACCTGTAGCTTCTCCAACAAATCCATGTTTTGCCTCTTTAGATGACTGTTTGCCCTCTCCAGCTTTTCCAGGGGTTCACCTTCATCACAGGGATTCACATTTTCCTGCAGTTCATCCTGCAGAACATGGTACTCTACTTCATAGGCATGCAGCTGTTTTGAAATATCCATCTCAAATACCTGCCATGAAAGAAAAAACAATTTTTAACTACAGTACAGAGCACTTATTCCACATGAATGTTTGGCTAAGAGGCAACTCTGCTTGATTAACTTAATTTTTTTTTTTCTGTTCCTCTCAAAAAAGTATTTTAAGGGGAAGTCTACAGTAAGATCATTTTGGCATCTGGAGTTGGTATTGTAGCCATAATAAATCATGGACTTTAGAATAAATTGGATCACCACTTTTATAATTACCAAATACCATCTCTCACTATGAGATGT